GTGAAGGGTCTGGAGAACAAGTCTTATGAGGAGTGGCTGAGGGAGCTGGGGTTGTTTAGCCTGGAGAAGAGGAGGCTGAGGGGAGACCTTATTGCTCTCTACAACTACCTGAAAGGAGGTTGTAGTGAGGTGGGGGTTGGTCTCTTCTCCCTAGTAACAAGTGATAGGATGAGAGGAAATGTCCTCGAGCTGCGCCAGGGGAAGTTTAGGTTGGATATTAGAAAAAAATTCTTCACCGAAAGGGTAGTCAGGCATTGGAACAGGCTGCCCAGGGAAGTGGTTGAGTCTCCATCCCTGGAGGTATTTAAAAGAAGGGTAGAAGTGGTGCTCGAGGACATGGTTTAGTGGTGGACTTGGCAGTGTTAGGTTAACGGTTGGACTCAATGATCTTAAGGGTCTTTTCCAACCTTAACGATTCTACAATTCTATGATTCTGTGATTTCATTTTCATCTTTTCATGTCTCTCCATTATATGATAATAGGGATATAATAAACGTGATCATATGAAGTCCTATAATATCCTCTTAAGGTGGCTGTTTTGAGCCTTGTTTTGAAGGGTATTGAGGAATCTTGATATAATTGGAAGTGCTCAGGATCTTTGAAATCTAAACCCAATATACTGCTTTAATTGTGCTCTTCTGAAAACAATATGTTGTTTTCACTTTTTCTCAGTAGTTAAAATACCTATTTGGAAGAAATTATCTACCATAGTCATGTAATTTAGGATATTTTACCTGCTTGCTATCTATTTAATAAAAGTACAAAGTCTAGAGTGTCCCAGTATAACAGCAGTGATGTGCAAACTCTTCACAGCATAATCTTGTAGAATTTGATGACATGTAAATCAACTTTTTCTTTCGTTTTAGGGACCACTGGCAATGAGAGTTGCAAAACTGGCCATCAATCAGGAAATGGAGGCAAGATCTATATTTTCCATAAAAGTAAGCAGACATCAGGCTAGCAACAGGTCTTCTGTAGTAATTATTTTTTTCTAGAGCTGTTCTTAGTTTCTCGGTGTATAGTCTTTCAAAATCTATTTGATGAAAACTTTTTTTCAGAGTAAATGCAGAGATTATATGTCTGATTATTGATTTCAGACTCCTGAGACTAGACTTGATACTTTTTGGACATTTTCAGAATTTTCCTGCTGGGAGTAAAAAAAAAACCCAGTCATACTCTTTCAAGTCCATCAAGGCTATCAGTGTTATTTTAGTAACTAATAATGTTAAAGGCCAAAAGGCACATTATTACTTTTTAATAGTTTAATACAGGCTAGTGTTAAAATTATATCAGGAGTCTGATTTCAGACATTGGATTGCCACTCCTTGAACGCTATTGACCTAGCTCTAAAGCTCATTAAGACCCAGCCCTGAGCACATATGGACATGTGTTTTACTTTAGGCTTGTGAATCCTCTTGCTGAGCTCAGCAGGACTATTCCTTTTTAAAGTTAAGTGTCCTGCACCAGGACACCTTATAGATCAATCTGGGACAAGAGAAAGGGGATCACATTGCATGCAAAATATGAATCCAATAAAATAAATTTAAGAATAGCCTTTTTTAAAAATTTTTTAAAGCCTTCATAAGCAACCAGTGATATAATTGAGTTTACCAGAGCACACAACCAATGAATTTTGCCCTGAGGACCAAATTCAGATGCTGTTGTGCAAAGAGTATGTTCATTACATTCACACAGCAAGTAATGATGTAATTAAAGATTTCTTTCAGTGGTACCCAAGGTTTAAAATGCTACAAGCTAAATTCTCTAAGTACCAGATATAATGAATTGGAAGCTGAGAATGATTTTTGTAGAATTAGGGAAAATATGGTTAGAAGGACTCTGAATGATTATCTAGTTCAATTTGAGCCCCCAAAACAAGATCTACTGTATCAAAACCAATCAAGCCAAATATTTGTTCAGCCTATTGTAACAAACCTTTCATGACAGAGATTTCACAGCTTTCCTTGGTAATCTATTCCATTGCTTATCTCCCCTTGATTAATTGCTTGTAGTGCATAGCCCCAGTCTTGTCAACGGCCATTTGGAAAGCTGATAATTTCTGCAACAGCTGACACTTAGGAAAGGCAGAGAAATAGTGAGGAGAAAGTTCAGTTGTTTCAGCTGTTCAGACCACCTCACAAAGAAAAATATTATCAAATATAGGTAATGGTGCAGGATTACTACTGGCCTCGTTTTCTTTCTTAAATCCATTTAAACTTGAATTTATGTTTACTTTTAGTATGGCATCATTTTCTTATACGACATTGTGAAGATGCTGGTTTCAGAACACTTTTGAATAAGCGTGCAGTACATTAAATCTTTTCCCCTGTAGTAACTGAAATGATTACAAATGTGCAAGTAGCTAATGGTTTTTAGTCCAGATGATATGTAGTGAAGAGCATACATTCTTTTGACAGTGTATTACATACTAATTGTATCACCGAATAAGGAAAGAAATACTAACCTCTCTCACCACATGGCAGTGAAATATTTCTGTGCTAAAGTAATGTAAAAGGACTTTGCAAAGCATTTTAGTATTTGGCATATAGAAACACAGTATTTAAGTTAGCTATCAGGAAATAATGTATACTAAATGTACAAAAATATGCTTTAAAAATATTTTATTCTTTTCCTCAGGTTGATTTGGTAACAGGTTTAGCAATTGAAGAAGCTTGTTATGCTCAGGTATGTATTTATAATTTCACCAAAGAAAACCATGAAACAGGCTTTTTTGGAGCCTGTTGTGAAACACATACAGAAATACAACTTGAAATTGCTTTATGATTTCTTCTACAAATATTTCATCATTGTATTTAGACCTTCCTTCTACTTGCTCTGGTTTTTTATATGGAATTTAAGGAAGGAGCTGTAGTTTAGGGAAAAAACATCCTCCTGTCAAAACTTCAGGCAAAGGGAATGAAGCACTGGCAGCCCTATACCTAGCCAGCCATACACTACTATGCATCTAGCCCAAGAACTGCCTTACTTTTCCTTTGCTTTTGTTTAATGTGAAATGACATTGTACTGGATCTGGCTTGGATGGAGTTAATTTTCTTCATAGCAGCCCCTATAGTGCTGTGTTTTAGATTGGTGACCAAAACAGTGTTGATAGCACACCAATGTTTTAGCTCTTTCTGAACAGTTCTTACACAGCGTCAAGGCCTTCTCTGTTACTCACTCTGCCCTGCCCAGCAAGTAGGCTGGGAGTGGGCAAGAGGATGGGAGGGGACACAGCTGGGACAGCTGACCCAAATTGACCAAAGGCATATTCCATTGCCATATAACATCATGCTCAGCAATAAAACTGTGAGGTAGTCTTTCCAAAGGAGCTTTTGCTCAGAGATTGACTGGCTGCTGGTGGGACACGGTGAGTAATTGCCTTTGCATCACTTTTTTTGTTTTACTTTTTTTCCTTCATCTATTAAACTGTCTTTATCTTGACCAATGAATTTTTCTTGCTTTTGGTCTTCTGATTCTCTCCCACATCTTGCTGCGGGGGGAGTGAGCAAGTGGCTGCTGAGTGCTTAGTTGCTGGCTGAGTTCAACCCACCACAAATATGAAGGGCAGGCACTTCACTAACATGTGCCAATAATATAGCATGTGTGCTAACCAACAGAAAATCAAGACAAAACTCTTTGTCAGCAAAATATAGGAATAGAGTATTTTGAGTTTGCATATTCTTGGAATTCGAGACAAATTTTTCATCATGGACATTGAAGCATCAGCACTGGAGATATGCTTATTTAAAAGATATGACAATCTGATTAATAACCTACAAAAACAATCGAAAACAAAAACAAACAAACAAAACCCAAATCCTAGACAGATTTTCATTGTCATCTGTTCAGAGGAAAGATACTCCTTCTTCTCCCAAACTGTTTCTCAGCCTTATGTTGTGCCTTTAGAGTGTTTGGTACTTTCCTATATCTAAATATATATTGCAGTTTTCATTTCTATGTTAGAATATATGTTGCATGTTGGATTCATTATAAAGAACTGGGGTTTGTATGGAAATATTTTTCTTGGTATTGTTTTGGGTATCAATAATAAAATTTTACTCTGCTCTTTGTAGACTATTCCAACAAAAGATAGAATTGAAGGTCTTCTTGCATTTAAGGAGAAAAGACCTCCTTGCTACAAGGGAGAATAAAAGAAGCTGATGCCTTTAAAATACAATGAGGTAAAAGTACTGCTATGAGGACCATTAAGGTGCATTTTACATCAGCATCTGCAATATCACAACTACCAAAGTAAAAGCAAATCATACTGATGTTATGACATTTTCAATGTGTCCATACTTGTACTGGGCCCAGATAGATATGTGTGTCAACTCATGCTAATTTAAGTTTCTGAAGGTTGCTCTGTGTATTGGCAGGTCACAGAGTCATGCAGCATTTTTTTAAATTTCATATGTATGAAACTCACCATTCCACAATTTAAAAAGCTCTGTAAATTCTTTATATAGACAGAGCCTATATGTGATATGAAGTATAAATCTACTGTATCATTTTATCAAAATAAAAGTGACTTCTGCACTCCAAAAATAAGAAATTGTATCAAATATGCATTAAAATGATTCTATGTATCAGGAAAAATTACGTTTGTGTATTCTAGCTGAATATGTAGCTTAAGTCAGTTTGGTGCTTTTAAGTCTCTCACCTCCTCTGAAGAAATTTGGTGTTTTGTTTATTTAGAGTTTGTATAATTATATAGTTAAAAGCACTTGGAAGATGTTCTATGGAACATTTCTATTAGATTTGTAGAGCCATTTGGGTCAAACTTGTTGAAATTTCTGTCAGTCTACACACAGTTACTCATAGTTCTACTTCAGGGTTCATATCTATGTTTTTCTAGAGCTGCTTTTAAACAGCTGCATTCAAAACAGAAACAATATATATCATGTGCAGCTGATTCATATTTTTATCAGTTGTTTCTTTATGATGCATTTAACCATAATCAAATTTGTTGAACACACCAAAAATTACTGGTCTTTCCAAAACATATAAGATGGGTAAGCCTTGGCTAACAGCCAAACTCCCACCTAGTCACTCACTCCCCTTCTCAGTGGGATGGGGAAGGAAATTAAAAAAAAATATAAAAAAAAAATATAAAGACAGGGAGATTGCTTACCATTTACTGTCATGGTCAAACCAGACTTGACTAGGGGGAAATTAGTTTAATTTATTGCCAATTAAAATAGATTCAGGTAATGAGAAACAAAAAGACAAGCATTATATGGTCAGTACATAACAGTTTCTCTCTGTTGCTCCTTCCTTCTCTCACTTTTCCTCTGCTCCAGTGTGGGTTCTCCATGGGCTGCAGTTCCTTCAGGAATATCCATCTGCTCTGGCACAGGTCCTCCATGTACTGCAGGTAATATCTGCTCCACCATAGAGCTCTTCCTCTTCCCCTTCCCCTTCCTCTTCCCCTTCCTCCTCCCCTTCCTCCTCTGACCTTCTCTGACCTTTTCTTCCCTCCTCCTCTGCCTGTGCGGTGTTTTCACAGAGGTGCCACAAACTTCACTGATTGGCTCAGCTTTAGCCTGTGGTGGGTCCATTGCGGAGTTGGCTGGAACCTGACCTTTTCTCACAGAGGCCACCCCTCTGGCCACCACCATCCTGCTACCAAAATCTTGCCATGTACACCCAATGCAGCACAAAAGGGCAGAATATCATGCTAGTAGACTCTGAGTTTGGGACACTTAGGGAGTAAAGTAAGGAGTTTGGTAATAGTGATATGTCACAGTACCAAAACCAACTCATAGATGCAAAACGATAGGAATAATTCAAACATCTGAATTTATCACAGACTTGTTTCATTGCTTTTCAATGTAAGCCAGTCCCTGAAAAGGTGTATACTATGATTAGAATGAGGATTTACAATAAGAAAATATTTGAAAACCATTGGTGTTTTGTGTGGTATACATTGAACAAGATGTGCTTTCAGGTCTCATTTGTGGGATTTTAGCCATGTTCTCTCAAGTATTACACCTAATGAAACCACTGAAAAGCCATAGGGCTTCATTGTCTAATGAGGGTAATACTGTATTCAAGATGTGATAATGATAAAAATGTGGTTATTTTAAGATGTTCTTTTTGTGCACACTTTTAGAAAGACAGCTATCTCTGAAAAAATGAGAAAAAGGAGAATAATTGCAATCATAAACAAAAAGGAGATATGTGTTCAGCTAAAAGGTAATGTGTATTTTGAGGGATTATAAAGGCTACTTTTTTTGTTTAGATTTTTTTTCTGTTGGTTTTCATTTTGTCTGAGTTGGGAGCTCAAATACTAGAGTACAAGTAGCAATTTTAAGAATTTGTTTGGGTTGATTTCACATTAAAAACACTATAAGTTTTATGAGCAAAATTAAGAGAGTTTTAAACATGTTCCCAAAAGGTTTTTGAAAGATTGAATCAAAAATTATTATCAACAAAGATTTGCCAAGATACCTAATTTATTATAGATTCAAATGATGTTCAGTTTCAACCTTGGAATAGAGTTGAATGAAGGTTTTCTTAGTTATAAAGAATGCAATATGTATGTACAGTATATTCATTATACATTATAATATATATGTATATATTGATGTTATATGCAAGCATATATATGTATATGTGTATGCATATGTGTATATATAAATAAAACTGTTTAGACTGTCAGACAAGATCAAACCCCCTCAGGATGTGATAGCACTATTTTACTACAATACATTTTTAATCTGTGCAAGAGCACTACCAGCAAAAACCTTGAACCCAATAAAGAATGTATTATGATTGTTGCAAGCAGCAATACTTAGAATGTGCAAGTTCTATAATACAGCAATTCTATTGCAGAAACAGCAGTCAAGTAGCAAGGAGATGCATTAGTGTTACTGCATATCTCATCATTCACATGTGGTAGTTCAAGGCCAGAATAAATGTAGCAGAAGACAAAGTGAGTTCTAAGTTTCAACAAAGGTATGGCATGCCAGATGGGACATTCTTTCCAGGCCTATAGTGTCACTTACTTCTGTAGTTTGAAGAGGCCTACAGCAATAATGAGCGGCTCATTAATCAAAAACTGTCATAGATTATAAGATCAGTCTCCCCCCTTTACTAAGTCTAGACTTAGATTTCATCTTCAAATTTTATCTAGTTGTTGTGGGTTAACCCTGGTAGGCAGTGAAGCACCACATAGCTGCTCGCTCACTCCCTCACAGTGGGATCAGGAAGAGAATCAGAAGGGCAAAAGTGAGAAAACTCGTGGGTTGAGATAAAGACAGTTTAATAGGTAAAACAAAGGCTGCATGTGCAAGCAAAGCAAAACAAGGAATTCATTCACTACTTCCCATTGGCAGGCAGGTGTTCAGCCATCCCCAGGAAAGCAGGGCTCCATCACATGTAACGGTTACTTGGGAAGAAAAACGCCATCACTCTGAACGTCCCCCTTCCTCCTTCTTTCCCCCATTTCTTTATTGCTGAACATGACATCATATGGTATGGAACATCCCTTTGGTCAGTTGGGGTCAGCTGTCCTAGCTGTGTCCCCTCCCAACTTCTTGTGCACCCCTACTTGCTGTCGGGTCAGTGTGAGAAACAGAGAAGATCTTGACGCTGTGTAAGCACTGTTCAGCAATAGCTAAAACACTGGTGGTCACAGATCCAAAACATATCACCATACCAGCTGCTATGAAGAAATTTAACTCTATCCCAGTCAAAACCAGTACACTAGTAGATAATTCTTTCAGTGACACTATTTCAATGACTCAGTCGGCGAGGAGCACAGCGGCGGCAACGGTAAGTTCCGCGGCTGAGCGCGTGTTGAGGAGGAAAGGGGGGTTCCCGGAGGCAGGGAAACCCGCGGATGTGCCGAGAGACCAGCCGGGAGCCGGCAGCTCTCGCGAACGGGGGGGACGCGGCGGAGGCGGTGCCAGGAGCAACCGCGGGGGGTTTAAAGG